AAGTCTTCCCTGGCCGTGAAGAGATCTTCCTCCAGCTCTGCCACGTGACTGGAGAGGGCGGCCAGGCGCTCTTCCATTTGGCTCTGCTCCCTCAATTGCTTGTCCGTGACTTCCTGGAGCTCTATTCCTTTAGCAAGGTCCTCCTCGTGGCTTATAGTGATTCTCTCTTCCATGTCTTCCTTTTGGGCCTTGGCTTCACAGATTTCCCGTTGCAATTTCGTGTTCATCTCCTCAGATTTGATCAAGTCTTCCCTGGCCGTGAAGAGATCTTCCTCCAGCTCTGCCACGTGACTGGAGAGGGTGGCCAGGCGCTCTTCCATTTGGCTCTGCTCCCTCAATTGCTTGTCCGTGACTTCCTGGAGCTCTATTCCTTTAGCAAGGTCCTCCTCGTGGCTTATAGTGATTCTCTCTTCCATGTCTTCCTTTTGGGCCTTGGCTTCACAGATTTCCCGTTGCAATTTCATGTTCATCTCCTCAGAATTGATCAAGTCTTCCCTGGCCGTGAAGAGATCTTCCTCCAGCTCTTCCACATGACTGGAGAGGGCGGCCAGACGCTCTTCCATTTGGCTCTGTTCCCTCAATTGCTTGTCTATGACTGCACTCTTCCATTTGGCTCTGCTCCCTCAATTGCTTGTCTATGACTTCCTGGAGCTCTATTACTTTAGCAAGGTCCTCCTCGTGGCTTATAGTGATTCTCTCTTCCATGTCTTCCTTTTCATCCATGGTTTTACAGATGTCCCGTTGCAATTTCATGTTCATCTGCAGGGATTTGATCAAGTCTTCCCTGGCTGTGTAGAGATCTTCCTCCAGCTCTTCCACGTGACTGGAGAGGGTGGCCAGGCGCTCTTCCATTTGGCTCTGCTCCCTCAATTGCTTGTCTGTGACTTTCTGGAGCTCTATTCCTTTAGCAAGGTCCTCCTCGTGGCTTATAGTGATTCTCTCTTCCAAGTCTTCTTCGTGGGCCATGGCTTTGCGGATGTCCCGTTGGAATTTCATGTTCATCTCCTCAGATTTGATCAAGTCTTCCCTGGCCGTGTAGAGATCTTCCTCCAGCTCTTCCACGTAACTGGAGAGGGCGGCCAGGCGCTCTTCCATTTGGCTCTGCCCCCTCAATTGCTTGTCTGTGACTTCCTGGAGCTCTATTCCTTTAGCAAGGTCCTCCTCGTGGCTTATAGTGATTCTCTCTTCCATGTCTCCCTTTTCGTCCATGGCTTTACGGATGTCCCGTTGCAACTTCATGTTCATCGCCTCAGATTTGATCAAGTCTTCCCTGGCCGTGTAGAGATCTTCCTCCAGCTCTGCCACGTGACTGGAGAGGGCGGCCAGGCGCTCTTCCATTTGGCTCTGCTCCCTCAGTTGCTTGTCTATGACTTCCTGGAGCTCTGTTCCTTTAGCAAGGTCCTCCTCGTGGCTTAACGAACCATCAGAAGATCTCTTTCCATTCATGCTCGGGGTATTTTCTTGTTCGTGGTTCATGTCAAGCACTCCATCTGTTAGTGTTTTTTTCTGATTATTCTGTTCATTAAGAATTATTAGCTCTTTGTGTGTGGCACCTAATTCTTCTTCTAACAGACTACACCTTTCAAGTGCTACTCGTAATCTCTCTCTCACCTTCTCACCCAGAGCTTTGTGGTGCTCAAACAACGACTTCAGTGCTTTGAGCACTTCGACTTCGCTGGACACACCTGCTGGGGACTGTGCCTGTCTCTTCACCACGGTCATGCTGAGAGACCTCTCGTGCCTAGAGACAAGGTATTCCAAGTGTTCTAAAAGGAGCCTGGTGTTGTTCCTTTCTGCTTTCAGTTCAGCAATTTCTTCTTCCCTTTCCAGAAGCTGTTCCCGGCCTTCATTCAGTTCCTTCATAAGTGCAGCAAACTCCTGTGGAAGTGCAGCATTGAGCTGTCTCTGCAAGGAATCTCTTTCAAGACTAACTTCGTGTAATTTCCCCTGGTTAATGCCAGCGTTTCTTGAGTCTCTCTAAGAGTGTCAAGAAGTCGGTCCCTTTCTTCTAGCATGGAGGCCATCAACTGTTCAACATGTGAATCTGCGTCTGCCTGTGAAGGAGAGACGGATGCATGGCTCCCACTTCCTCCTGGGGAGCCTTCGGCTTCACTGATGGTTGGCATCACCTCACGCATCATCTGGAAATGAAAGACCCAGACTAGAATCATTACGAGCAAAATACAGGTTCCCATAAATCTGCAATTTCATAAGTATCTGCAGCTAATGAATGAAAGGTTCACAGCCTCTTTATTCTCAGATCTGTTACACTTTGTATGCAAATAAGTTGGGAAAGCATACACAGGCAAATATTAAGTGCAGGAACACACACCATGTGAAGATACTCACAGGGACAATAACCCCGTGAAGGGGTCAAGACCAGAGGACTGCCCCTCACATAAAGAGCAAACCCAGCAGTATTTTGTTCGCAAAGCTGTCCTTTTTAGTTGTTGAGAACAAGTGTGCTTCAGTTACCTATTTTTCCAATTTCCCGGTGGGGGGAGAGCAAGTCAAACGCACACGCCACCCAGTCACTTTTCAGGAAGAGCATAGAAGGAGCACAGAGCCAGCAAAACTGACAAGTACAAAACCCATCAGGCACCTTACAGGAATGTGTGCAGTCAGCCCCTGGGAAGGACTGACGGCTCCCTGAATCCTTGGGCTGGATTTGGTGACCACTAAAGGAACGGGACTCGTGAAGGGTTGGGAGAGGTGTTCTCCAGTGGTTGATCAGTCAACCTAACTTACCTAAGTTTACAGCCCAAACCAAAATTCCACAATGGAAAT